ACGGGTTTCACGTTCTCTGCACGTAATAAGCTCGGTTATTAAGCATCCTTTTTTGGGGATGCCCGGTGGCCGAGGGGAAGACGTGTAGTGGCGTGAAGCTAGGCGATTAGGTGCCGTACGCGAACGCCAGTTCGAGTCACGCACGCAGTACGTATTTACTATAATTAGACATAGTCTTTACCTTGCCGTTTATTCGGTGTTATTTGCTTACTTTACTTCCTATGTCGACAGCAACTATGAGTCTGCTATTTAGGGTGTTTTACCACCAGGGTATATTATGGCCTGTGTTTTGCCATCAGGGTTGATTACGGCCTGAATATCAGACAGCGTTTTGCCCCCAGGGTATATTGTAACCTGAATACCAGACACTCTTTTGCCACCAGGATCTATGGTAGCCTGAATTACAGACACTGTTTTGCCAAGAACAAGTTTTATGATGGAGTCAACAAATAAACGTTTTCCCCTTTCCTGATACGATTCTTGTAAGGACAGATGCTGGTAATCACTATATCCCTCTCCCACACTACGTGCCAGGGGATAAGTGAATGCATGTCAGAGAAATGTTTAACAGTGCATTTCAGAGGCAACAAGTGCTACCATCGGGACAATATACACTAAATCACAAAACAAATTTGCACAAGTATAACCATTTAATACATGCAATCATTGTATGAATACATATTCAAGAAATGTATGTACAATTTTCATTTTTACATAGTTTTGGGGTAAAAATGGATGCCACTTGATTAGACCAACTTTATACCAAGTGTTAAATCATTCCAATATGTATGCAAAATGACTGCAGGTTGGCAGATCAACAAGCCATGCATGGCACAGTCCCCATTAGTTATCAAAATTAAGATATATAGTTTTGTTTATAGTAATATAGCTGGAATATAACCATGTCAGGAATATGATTTTTTAACATTAAAATGATTGACAATTGTATCTGATCATCAAAAAAGTACTTGTCCATATTGAGAGATATTGCTCTGGAACAGCATTCAAAATCAGCCATTTTGAATACATGTATATATAACATGATGTATAACGAATATATAAAATTAAAATATAATCAGTCAAAGCATTTAAGAGATATGGCTCTAGAAGCCCAATCATTAAAACAAAATGGCCGCCAGTCAGCTATTTTGAATCCAATCTGAAAAATAAAATGACATGCATCAGGAACCTGTAATGTCTAACGCGTGTTATAAGTTTGAACAAAATCCATCCATAAATGCAAGAAATGTTTGATATTCGAGGGTTTTCACAGCACAAAAATAGCACACTTTGAAAAAGATCATCAAACCAATATATCCGTACATCTGTGACAGGATGTATAATGAATATTAAAAATTTGAACATAATCAGACAAAACAAGTCAGACATGTGGGTCTGGAAACCCATTCATTAAAACAAAATGGTCGCCAGAGAGCCATTTTGAATCTGATCGGAAAAATAAAATGACGTGCATCAGGAACCCGTAATGTCTAATGTACCAAGTTTGAACGAAATCCATCCAGAAATGCTTGATA